CAGTACGTTCAGTTCACGTTCGCCCAAAATATGAATGAGTTCATGAACTTTTGTTCAATAAACGCGTTCAGGTACAACACTGTCTATACTTACTGCAAAGATATATTCACCAAAAGCAGCAACACCGAGTCTGCTGCGTTTGCTGCTCATGTTGGCAATCATGGTCCACTGGTCTGTGTCTGGGTTGTAAACCTCAGCTGTTGATAGAAACTGGCTTCCATTAAAGCCGCCGCAGACATACACCTGGAAAACATTTTAAATGAAAAGTGTTTGGTTGAAGAGGTCTATCTCTAGAAATCCCCCTACCATTATAAATTTACTGTGTTTTTTAGGACTAACTTTTAACAAAAAGGAAACGTGTGTGACACCATGAGATTTTTAATATACCCTTGTTGCCCTTAAAATAAGCCACTGTCACTCACTCTGCCATTAAGGGTTGTACAACTGGCACCACTCCTTTTCTCATGCATGGAAGATACAAGTGTCCATTGGTTGCTTCTTGGATCGTAGCGCTCAACAGTGTTGAGCCGTTGGGGTCCATTACAACCTCCCATGGCGTATATGAACCCATTCATCACGGTGACACTAACGAAGCAGCGCTTGCTGTGCATTGGTGACGCCTCATGCCAGGTCATTGAGGCCAAGTCAAATCTGTGCACGGCATTGAACTGATTAACACAGCCACCAACTAAATAAACTGATCCATTGAGGAAAACACTCCCATGACAAATCAGGGGAGTTTCTGTGGTCATAGGCGCACGTTTCCAGTACTCAGTGTTGGATTCATAGGCTTCAATCAAACTGGTAGGGCCTCTCTCAGTCCATCCTCCTATAGCCAGCATGAGGGCGGGGGGAACTCGGGCCTTTTCCAAAGTTGGGCAGATGAAGGACCTGTAGCTTGTCTCCCTCCAGTGGTCTGGAATGATTTTCAGAGACTGGAAGTACATTGCCTGAAGTTCTGGAATTGATTCCACAAATTCCCTCTCATTCACGTTTTCACGCAGGTACTTTGGAGACATCCAAGCCAGTCTGACCTGTACAGAGACATAAGCACATGAGTC